ATTCCAATAATCTCTCATTATTCAAAATTTGAATTCAAATATGACTTTTAATCTACCGTCCACATATTTTAATCTCAGTGTGTTATAAAAGCTTTCAAGAATTCTAAAAATAGAATGTCAAACTTATTATTTTTTGATCAAAATTTTCTAAAAAAATTTATTCCAACAACCTTTTTATATATAGATAGATTACTTGAAATGCGTTTGGATAACTTAGACATTAATTAAGGATGACAAAAGAAAAAAAAAGGTTAATTGCATAAAAAATCTCAACCTTTTATTTACTTGCAAATAAAACTCAATTTTTTTCAATTTGACAAAAAAATACCAAACTTTTATTAAGTGTTGCAATTTTATCTTGCCCGCCGGACCACCGCCGCCGCCAACCGCCACCCGCTGCCAGCCAACTTCGTCGGATATTGAAAATTTTTACATGATCTTGTAGCTCTCCTCCGTAGACTACGACCTTTGACCGGAAAATAGGAAGCCTTATCGTCAGAATTTTTTCGTGAAACTCGGATATGTTGTCGGCACGGAGAAGAGCTACAAGATCATGTAAAAATTTTCAATATCCGGCGAAGTTGGCTGGCGGCGGGTGGCGGTTGGCGGTAGTCCGGCGGGCGAGACAAAATTGCAACACTTATTAAAAGTTTGGTATTTTTTTGCCAAATTGGAAATGTTGAGTTTTATTTGCAATTAAACAAAAGGTTGAGGTTTTTTATGCAATTGACCCAAGAAAGAATGGTATGTCCGTATAACAGTTTTTTTATTTTTTTTATTTTTTTTTAAATGATGTAACAGTTTAAGAAAAAAATTAAAAAAATCCCCATACGTATTGGTATATCAAATTTTATGTCATCCCTTATGTTACTGTAAGATGTTGATGTGACAGAAATATCGGTCTTGATGTGCTCGAAATATCGGCCTACCATATTGCTGGTTGAATTGTCTCGTCTCGATTGTCACGTACTACGAACTGGATCAACCTGCAAAAGCACTGGGGGTGGAGTCCCGGTATAGACACTCCAACGCTCAAGTAAGAAAACTTATATCTTAAATGTACTGTAACTATGACTGAGCATGTGACTCTGAGAATTCCGAAGCATTCTGAAAATCGAGCCAAAATCACTCCGAACCGAAAAATAACAGTTGACCATTTGACTTTCTCCTAATCGAGCCAAACAGAATGGAAACTATAATCGATATGGTTCTGGAGATTTCACAAATATATGTACCGAGAACCAAACTAAACCATCTCATGCCGTATGTAAGCAAGTTCAACCATAAAAGATGAGAAATAAATCAAATTCTAGACAATTCATTTCTAATTCAAAATGTTATTTCCGAAGGTTGATACCCTTGTTCCAATTATTCCTCTGATTATGTCATTGGCTAAAGCGAAAGTTTGTAAAGTATTAGGGCATCCCATTAGTAAGTCGGTTCGGGCGGATTCAAAGTCCGACCGATTCCCTTTCTCGCCCTAAATAGGTGCTCTCAGCTCTTTAAAACATCAAACCTCTCCGAAGGAGCTCTTTGACTTTGCTTCGCTTTGTTTTGTTTGTATGGTTGACCAAGCAATTGTTGTTAAGTCAGCTCCTGTAGTCAGAGATCTTTCCATGGGATGGTCTTTCGATCAACAAAATCAGCATGACGTGTATTCTTTGACCTTACCAGAATGAATGAAGGAGAAGAAGAGGTCAATCGCAAAAATACAGATGAGATCTTACGGCTGACAGCGCCTAGAAGAGGAAAAAGCAAACGAGCCTACAAGCTTAACTTTGGTTTAGCTTCCAATTAAGGCTAAGGGAGTTGTTTCCCTGGGCTAGTGTTCAACTCATTGTTCCGAGCTTCACTCCTTCTAATTCGAAGAATGCTTTCTTTCCACTTTCCATCCAACACTTATTACGGATCGCATTCTTTATTTAATTGAAACTCCAATATCTCAGCTCATTCCTGGCTTGATAGTCGTGAAAGTCCATATTGACTCCTTTTCTGGCTTTGTCAATCCAGGATATGCCTTATACTCTAGAGAACTTTTGCATTTCAACTAGTGGTATGAAGTGACTCGACGCAATTCAGTTTCAAATGGTTTGGGCTTGGAAGCAACCTGCTATCTATCAATAGGTTCGATGTAACTGACTTCGTCTATCTATTTGATTATGGTCGGCTTTCAGACATCAGATGAAGACCATCATCTCTATGTGGGTACGATCATAGCTTCATTCATTCGTTTGAACCTTGGGGATAACCATTAGCATTGAGGTCAATGACCACACCACCTCTAGAATACATACGACATTACACGAAGCGAGAGTGCACCATGTAGTGTAGTGTCTACTTCCCAATTTTCTGCCAACCAGTGTTTCCGAACCAAATAACCGCATTATAACATTAATTGTATGTTATTATTATATTTTGTGTCAACTTTAATCCTATATAATTAGAGAATTTTTAAAATGCAAATAAAATATAGTAATAACAATTTTGCTTCACCTGAATTTCGTGCTTAGTAATACTTGATCTACAATTAAATTTTCATATTATAAAAAAATTATTTAAAATGATATGAAAGGTTAAAAAAATATTTTTTAAGAAAATATATATTTAAAACTTTACTTAGATTTGTCGATACTTTTCTTAGTCTTGTTCTCTCTTACATTTAAAATGGTATGAAATGTTATAGAAATATTAATTTTAAATTTCAATATTAAATGCACAAATTTTGTCTTAACTAAAATTTTAGATTTACTTCTAAAGTTTATTTCAAAATAAATTTTTTAATATGATGAAGTATCGATGAATGTTGTTTTTTT